TCGAATGCCGCAACTAAAGAGCCCGCACGCAGCAATGAAGATCCCGTGTGCTGCAATGAAGACCTGGCGCAGCCAAATAAATAAATAAAGTATTTTTTTTAAATAATATTTGTTAAAGACAGTCCTGTCCTTATAAGACAGTGATAGCAAGAGTTTAAATTAATCTCATACCTGGATCTTTGATGACAAACACCCTGCCTACATCTGAGCACAGGGAAGGTAGAAGTGGAAAGAAGGAAATCTCACTATCTACAAATCTTAGACAGCTTGTCCCACAGTAGACTGTACCACTTTAGAAAATGCTTTTTTCTTTTTTAAACAACCAATTGTTCCAATCTGGACTTATGGAGAATGTTTCACAGTCAGAGGGATTATTGGGAGGAAAAAAAAAGGGATTATTGGATTCAGCATTTCTATAAGCACAGAAAGCCGGTTGATGAATTTGTACTGAAGAATTATCATAAATACCAACTAAAAACAAATTACTTTCACTCAGGGGCCTCAGTCTAAATGGAGCTTAATATGAATCCATGAAGTTTAAGAAACTAAAAATTTTTTGAAAACCAATTATTAAAATGGGGAGGACATCTACACACGTTCCTTGGATATACAGATGTGCCAAACTTCAAGACACTCTTCAGGAAAGAAAGACCTGAGACTAGGCTGAACACAACTCCAATAATCATATTTGTTGCCACAATCAAAGCCCTGGACCAGAGTCAAAACCTTTGGATCTGAACCTGCATATCAGAAACAGAATACTCTGGACTAACGATGGCAAGAGAAAGGTGAATCCAGGGCCACCAAGAAGAGGATTAGTTTTGGGGTTATCTCCAATGTTACAAGGGCCACTGTCACACACTGCAAGAAATGATCTTCATAATCCATTCCAAGACCTAATGGAGACACAGTTATCTTCAAATAATTATCCCCTGAAAAACAAAAGGGTAAGGACTTCCCTGGTGGCGCAGTGGCTAAGACTCCGTGCTCCCAATGCAGGGGGCCCGAGTTCGATCCCTGGCCAGGGAACTAGATCCCACATGCCGTGGAGCAACTAATAGTTTGCATGCCACAACTAAGGAGCCCACATGCAGCAACTAAGACCCGGAAAAACCAAATAAGTATTTTTTAAAAAAGGGGGTATTCACTAAGTAGAACACACTGAAAAGGACATTTACCAAGTAGCATTAAGTACTTAGTGTAGGGCTTCTCTGGTGGCGCAGTGGTTGAGAATCTGCCTGCTAATGCAGGGGACATGGGTCGAGCCCTGGTCTGGAAGGATCCCACATGCTGCAGAGCAACTGGGCCCATGAGCCATGGCCGCTGAGCCTGCACGTCTGGAGCCTGTGCTCCGCAACAAGAGGGGCCGCGATAGTGAGAGTGCACTGCAATGCACCGCAATGAAGAGTGGCCCCCACTTGCCACAACTGGAGAGAGCCCTCGCACAGAAACGAAGACCCAACAGAGCAAAAATAAATAAATTAATTAATAAACTCCTACCCCCAACATCTTCAAAAAATAAATAAATAAAGTATTCAGTGTAGTCATACTAAATTGCTCTAACTTTGCCAAGCCTAAATGGCAAGTTAGAAGCCAATTCCTGGCTCCCTTATTTGATAACCTATTTGCCTCCACAGGCATGGTAAGCCAAAATATTAAAAGACCTAAGACTGACACAGACATTAGCAAATGTATCACCTTCTTTCCCTACTAACATTGTTTTTCTCCATAAGGTTCTATTCAGCATTTTAAAATACCCCTCGATAATAACACCAAGAAGTGCGTGTGAGTTTAGCCTGTGGCTCCCCAGGCTCAAAGGCTTGGGAGTGAGCGTGAGGCGAAAAAAAAAGTGGGAAACACTCTTTCTCTCTTCCTCAATGCCTTGGACTTTCAAAGCTAGGCAAAGGCAATGATTCTGCATTTAATCACCAGATGAATAAGTAACAGATTTGAATTTAGGAGAAACATAAAGGCGTGTAAGAACGTTCAGTAAAGAGTACCGCCTCCATTTCCTTGCAGAGCAGCTCTCAGGATCTGCCAATGAACCTCACTTTGACATCAAACACCCCATCCACTCTAATCCGGGCCACATCCCTCAAGAGACAGTCAACCGGAACTCTGCCAACTTCTGCTCGGGAGCTGTGTAAAGAACAGTAGCAACAAGAGCCTACTTTGAGAAGGAGATCAACAATCACACTCAAGAAGAAAAGAAGTTATTTGGCAAAGGGAAACATGTTGCCAAAATGTTAGTCACAGCTTCAAGGTCCTGGTTTGTGTTTCTGCAACTATTCTTTGCTTTGACAGAGTCCATTCTCTGGCCCAGCAAACCCAGCTCAGCTTCTGTCCACCCTCCCCATTTGAAGCAGTCAAAAATCCTTTCAATTTGGTGGTATCAAACTGTGACACAGACAAGATGTCCACCAGAGACTGAAAAGGAGGAAAAAAATGTGCAATTTGCCATTTTCCACTTCGGACTGGCTCCAGTAGAGCAATGGAAACACATGACAGGATAGGAAAAATGGAAAACCATTATGTGAAAGAAGCAGGCTATACCAAAAGTCTGCCCAGAGCTCTGAGCCTCCACAACTTATTTCAATACCTTAAAAACAAACCAAAAAGACACACTGTAGGTTGAAATGACAGCAAAATATTAAGCAAGTTTTTACCCCCAAATAAGTGTACAGATGGGTTACATCCTGATAAACCTATTGTAAGTTGAAAATACTGTTAATTCGAAAAGACATTTAATACGCCTAACCTACTGAACATCATAGCTTAGCCTAGCCTACCTTAAATGCGCTCAGAACACTTACATTAGCCTAGAGTAGGGCAAAATCATCTAACACAAAGCCTATTTTATAATAAAGTGTTGAATATCTCACGTCATTTACTGAATACTGTACTGAAAGTGAAAGACAGAATGGTTGTATGGGCACAGAAAGGTTGTAAGTGTATCAGCTGGTGTGGCTGACTGGGAGCTGCGGCTGTCTGCCTCTGCTCAGCATCACAAGAGTATGGTGCCAAATCAGGGAAAGATCAAAATTAAAAATTAGAAGTACAGCTTCCACTGAATGCATATCACTCACACACCATTATGAAGTTGAAAAATCTTTAATGGAACCACGGTAAGTCAGGGACCACCTGTATACACTTCATACCTGCAGTTCTTCCTGGGGTTGGGTTGCTGAAACAGCCTGAATCAGCAGGCCCACGGTTTTCAAAATTACTTCAAAACAATAAGAACACAGGTTCAAGTCCACCAGGTTACTCTCCCAAAGAGCCCAAGAAGTCAAGAAAGAACATCCGACAATTTTCTCTTCAAAAGAAATAGGACTTGTGCTTTCCCTTCTTAAAAGCCATCAGTAAAACCAGAAAACTGTACAGTTCTCAACACCTTCCACTTTCCTCTACATTTCACCTTTGTGCTGACATCACCTAACTAATCAGTACCAACTAAGGTAAACACTACTCTGATATCAAGTGTGAGTTAGAATCTGCCCCTTCTTAAGCAAATCCACATCAGACTTCAGAAATGCCAAGACCTTCAGGAACACTTCTAAGCTAAACAAATTCACCTAAGGGCAAAGTGTTTATAGAGTATTATGCCCAAAGAAAACGCTAGAACAGTCAAGATGCTAAAGGATTAAGAATAAAGAAGCTAAAATTGTCCACAAGCACACTGCTTCCCCAACAACTGGCAAAAAGGGCCAAAGTGACTGGACCAAAGCAAAAGGCTCAACTGTCTACAACACTATTTTCCAGTGAATTCTCAAAGACAATAAAATAGAAATAAAATATTGCATTCTTCCACATTCTCCATCAACCAACCTTATTTATTCCCAATTCTAACTTCCCCATCTCGGTCTTGATGGCAGCCAATACAATGTAACACAACAATATGAAATTTTTGGCTACTAAAAGTTGACACTGAGAAAAGTTTAAAAATTGGACATGTATCAAATCAAAACCAACTCTTCCCTGGCACAAAAAAAAAAAAAATGTGCAAGGCTGAGAGGAAGAAACTGGGAAAGACATGTCTTCTAAATATCAATATCTCAATCCAATTTTCAGGGATCACTTCTTTGCAACCACTTTAAAGATCCCATTTGGTTAACACAATCTTTTAGAAGCAGAGAGGGATCAAACCTACATTTCCAAGGGAAAAAAATGAGACAGTTTAATGATTTGCCTCAAAGTTACTTAGTAAATCCTTAGGAATCCTTGTTCCCTGAGGTTCTGTTCTGGTTTGTAAAAGGAGAAAAAAAGTCACTCAAAACATACCATAAGTCATTCAGAAACAAACATAGGGCAAAAATAACACGATGAAAAGGGAAGTGGATCCTGGAGGTGCCCAGAACTAAGACTTCACGTCACTCCAACCTGAACCTTCAATTGCAGGTTGCTCCCATGCGAACCCCAAGGTTTCTCAATCCAACCTTTAACTCAAATCTGATTCCTTCTCAACTAATGTTCTCCAGATTCCCTCTAGAGTAAGCAATTTCCTCAGTTATCCCTTCAACCATTGGTTTTCACTCATCAACTCCCAAAATGTCACGGCGGCCTCCTCACCCGGAGCATCCTGTTAATTACCTGCTCCCAACAGGTCCTCCCTCCCCATCTCCCTTTTTGCGCACGGTTACCTCGTTCCTCACCCTGAGTCGCCGTCTTACCTTACCCAACCCTTCAGGATCCCTTATTTCCCGTCTCTCAATAACCTTCCTCACCTTTTCACAGTCGGCGCTCGCCCCACACCAATTCCCGACCACTCCTCCCTACTTAGATTCCCCACGCCCCCTCTTCTCCAGGTTCTTCAGGCCCAGCCCCCACTCGCCCTCCCCTCAGGTCCCGCCCCCAGGACCCCTCTCTCCCACAGGCCCCTCCTCCAAAGTCCCCCACTCTCCTCAAGCCCCGCCCCAATCGCCCCTCCCCCGGCTCTCCCTCCCATTCAGGTCCTCAGGTCATTTCAGCGACGGACCCACCCTCCCCGGCCTCTTCCCGACCTGGGCACAGCGGCTCCGGGAGCAAATCCTCCGCCACCTCCGCTCCGGCTCCGTCCCGTCTTGCTCGCCCCCCGGCAAGCTCCCTTTCTCGCCGCCGCCCCTTTTGCCAACCCGGAAATGGATCTGCTCCCACCGTCCCCAGCGTCCGCGAACAAAATGGAGGAGGGGGAACAGGAGGAGGGAGCAGAGCGCGAAGAGAAGCTACACGCATGCGCCCCTGGAAAGCCCTCCCCCTGCCAGGGCACGTAAAGGCGGAAGTGGGCGGGTGGCCGCCATCTGGAGAAGGTCGCAGGAATTTGGTTTAGCAGCTAAAAGCTGGGATCGCAACTTTGGCTGCGATTAGAATCACCTGGTAAGACTTGACTAAATAGTGATACCTGAGTTCCATCCCCAGAGATTCTGATTTAATTGGTCTTGTGTATGGCTAGGCATCGGAACTTTTAAAATTGCGAAAGTGATTCTAACATGTTGCGGAGGTGGAGAATCACTGAGCTGAACATCTTTTTGAATATCTTTTTCATCTTTTTTGCGCGCGCGCGCGCGCACACATACACCCCATAAATATCCTTTCCTAATTTCGAGTTAACGAAGAACCCGCCCCAGTCAACCTTGCAAGGGCTCAGTAGTCAAGCTCTGGTTGTCACGGGAACAGAGGCAGGCCTTGTTAACAAGTTATCCTTAACGTCATCTTAGCTGCCTGACTCGAACACCTGTGAACGTCCGTCTCCTCTTTACCGGGCCTGGGCTTCCTCAGTTTCCAGAGCTGGGGGTTGGTGCTGTGGACTTCCAGCTGCCTGGATCAGGGAAAGGAATCCTGTGCCCTCCCTGGTGGGGCTGCTGTTAACTCGGTCCCAGCTGACTAAGGATCCCTCCCTAGCCCACCCACAAAAATGCTTTTCCGTTGCAGTCTACCCCATTGTCATATATCTTCACAATGTCCTTTGGGTCTCTCCATCATCCTTATTTACGCTGAATCCGAAGTAAGGGGATAGAGTTGGGACTTAGTTCTCACTACTTACTGCGTACCTTTGGGCCGCAGCTACCCTATCTGTAAAATGGGTCTACATAATAGTGCCTGTCCCAACTATTTCATAGGGTTGTTGGAAGGCTCAAATGAGGTGATGAATAGGAAAGCACGTGATAAAGTGCTTTCATCAGGTCCCCAGCTCTTAAATGCTTTAATGGAAAATTGAGGAATTTTCAGGGCAAACAAAGTAAGTGAAGGCAGGGGACATAAAGAGAGATAAGTGGAACACTGAAGCAGGCTTTTGCTCTGAGGACACTTGCCTAACTAGATGAATTTGAGCTTTTTCCAGGTTTTGTGGGAAAAGAAAACACTCCAGGACCTCCTCAACAGGGGAGTTTAACAGGACATTCTCCTTTGTAAAGATGGGACCCCAAAGGACTACATCCTCATGGTTAGGGTGAACCAGAAGTAAACCTGTCCCCTCCTCCCTTGGATGTAGGGTTAATAGAGATAGATTCTAGGCTAAGATGATAATAGATTTTTCACACAGAATGTTCAGTAAGACAGTGAAAGTCATGTGGATAATTCTTGGTTGTGCAGAATGGTCCCTTCCATTGCCAAAATATAGCATCCCTAACTCCTGCCTACCAAACGCCAGTAGCACGAACTTATCATTGGGATAAACAAAAAAAAACACCACAGGAAAAAACAAAAAACAAAAAACACCACAGGGAATTCCCTGACAGGCCAATGGTTAGGACTCCGTGCTCTCACTGCTGAGGGCCCAGGTTCGATCCCTGGTCAGGGAACTAAGATCCCACAAGCCTTGCAGTGGGGCAAAAAACAAAAAAAGCTACCACAAATTTCCAACATGCATCCATGAAGAACCACTGCCCCATGCTATACTGTCAAGTTGCCAGGGGCCAATTTGTGAAGGACTTTATTATCTCTCATGAAAAGTTAGATTTTTATCTCTAGGGCAAGAGGGAAACCACTAGAAAGTTTGAGCCGAGAACTGCCATGACCCACTTTGCCTTCTAGAAAGATCCCTCTGACTGACTGCAGCATAGAGGATGGATTAGAGGGGACCAGGTTAAAGGCAAAAGTGTTGTGGACATCTAAGTGAGAGATGATGGATGCCTGCACTGAGTGGCCGCTGGGTATGACTGGGCACAAAGACTTCGGAGGCAGTGCTGTTGGAAGAGCCCAAGGCCTCGAGTCTTAGTTCTCCCCACTACTGAATAGGGTGAGACTTTGGGCAAGGTACTCAACCTCTACCAGCCTCAGGCTCCCCATCTGCAAAGTGGAGAAAAGACTAAATGGAATGCACCTGAACCGTGTACACACTTGGAAAACATTCATGAGTCATAGTATATTCACTATGTCACATTTGTTGCTGTCTGCAGGCTCTCTCTAGTTTCGGTGAGTGGGGGCTACTCTTCGTTGCAGTGTGCGGGCTTCTCATTGCGGTGGCTTCTCTTGTTGCAGAGCACGGGCTCTAGGCGCGCGGGCTTCAGTAGTTGTGGCTCACAGGCTCAGTAGTTGTTGCACACAGGCTTAATTGGTCCACGGCATGTGGGATCTTCCTGGACCAGGGCTCGAACTTGTGTCGCCTGCATTGGCAGGCAGATTCTTAACCACTGCGCCACAAGGGAAGTCCCGGACTATACACACTTCAAATAGTGGTTGCAAATTATATCTCCGTAAAACTGCTACTCCCCCTGAATGCAAAACACTATATTGTTTTCAGATATATACATATGTAATGAGAGTTTACAGAAACTCATGGAAATGATACCACACTCAGGAAAGTGGTGGCCTCTGGGGAGAAAGGAAGAGCCTGTGACTGGGGGCAGGTACTAGGAGCCTCAGCTGTAAGGTAAGATTTCATTTAAGCTGAGTGGTGGAGACACGGGTGTTCATTATATTAGTCTTTAAACTTTTTGTATGATTGAAATATTACACAACACATTTAAAAATAACTTTTTAACAAGAGTGAATGGTTAGGATACACAGGATATTTGCCAGATGCAAAAATCACCACATAGTAACTGCAAAGAGAAAAAACAAAGCGTCTTTGCAAAGAGAAAAAACAAAGTGTCTTTTTAATGGAGAAATCTGGCAGTGCCTCCTTAACCACAGAGTCAAACACAGCCACCACTAATATGGGCCAGCCTGACACTGTTCGCCTCCCGGCATAATGCTATTAACAGCAGCACCTATAAAGTATTCTTCCCTAGAATATTTAAGCTCTGGAAAACTACTAGAGCTATACGGTCCAAGCTGGGAGCCGTTAGTCACTTGTAGCTATTGATCAATTAAAATGTCATTATTAAAAAAAAAAAGTCATTATTCCGCACAGACATAAAGAAAGAACAAACTTGTGGTTGCCAAGGGGGTTGGAGGTGGGGGAGGGACGGACCGGGAGTTTGGGGTTAGTAGGTGCAAACTATTGTATAGACAATAGATAAGCAACAAGGTCCTACTGTATAGCACAGGGAACTATATTCACTCTCCTAGGATAAACCAGAATGGAAAAGAATGTAAAAAAAGAACGTAGGGCTTCCCTGGTGGCGTAGTGGTTAAGAGTCCGCCTGCCAATGCAGGGGACACGGGTTCGAGCCCCGGTCCAGGAAGATCCCACATGCCGCGGAGCTACTAAGCCCGTGTGTCACAACTACTGAGCCCACGTGCCACAACTACTGAAGCCCACGCGCCTAGAGCCCGTGCTCTGCAACAAGAGAAGCCACCGCAATGAGAAGTCCGCGCACCACAACGAAGAGTAACCCCTGCTCGCCGAAACTGGAGAGAGCCCGCGCACAGCAACGAAGACCCAACGCATACAAAAAAGAAAATATATAAATTTATTTTAAAAAAAGAACATATATATGTGTATAACTGAGTTACTTTGCTGCGCAGCAGAAATTAACACAACATTGTAAACCAACTTTACTTCAATAAAAAATAAATTTTAAAAAAGGGCTTCCCTGGTAGCGCAGTGGTTGAGAGTCCGCCTGCCGATGCAGGGGACACGGGTTCGTGCCCCGGTCCGGGAAGATCCCACATGTCGCGGAGCAGCTGGGCCCGTGAGCCGTGGCCGCTGAGCCTGCGCGTCCGGACCCTGTGCTCCACAACAGGAGAAGCCGCAACAGTGAGAGGCCCGCGTACCGCAAAAAAAAAAAAGTGATTAGTCTGAATTGACATATGCTGTGGGTATAACATGCATACCAGATTTCAGTGACTTAATACAAAAAAAAAAGAATGTAAAATGTCTCAATATTTTTATATTGATTACATGTTGAAATGATATTATTTTGGATATATTGAGTTAAAGTATTAAATTAACTTACTTGTTTCTTCTTACTTCTTTAATGTGACTACTAGAAAAATTTTAATTACAGGTATGGCTCACATTATATTTGTATTGGACACTCCTCTCTAGGCAGAACTAATAGCTTATACTCTATAGAGGGGACGGGGATGCAAGTAAACAAGAGCATGGGGAAACAATCAGACAAGTCAAGAATTTACAAGACATCTGTCCTAGACTTTGAAAAGTCAATGTCATCGAAAAGAAAAGAAGCTGTTCTAGATTAAGAGGCTGAAGAGAAATAACAGCCGAATGCAACGCATGGACCTTGATTAGATCCGGATTTTTTTTTTTTTTTTTTTTTTCTCTGTACGTGGGCCTCTCACTGCTGTGGCCTCTCCCGTTGCGGAGCACAGGCTCCGGACGCACAGGCTCAGCGGACGCGCAGGCTCAGCGGCCATGGCTCACGGGCCCAGCCACTCCGCGGCATGCGGGATCCTCCCGGACCGGGGCACGAACCCGCGTCCCCTGCATTGGCAGGCGGACTCTCAACCACTGCGCCACCAGGGAAGCCCAGATCCGGATTTTTTTAAGTTTTCTTAAAGATTTTTTTGAGACAACCTGGGAAAATTAAATATAGACTGAATATTAGCAGATATCATGGAACATCTGTTGATTTTCTTAGGTGTGATAATGGTGTGGTAGACATGTAAGGGAACGTCCTTATTCTTAGGAGATTTCTGCTGAGGCTTTTAGGAATGAAATGATATTAACGTTTGCAACTTACTTTCAAGTAGGTTGGCAAAAGAAAAAGTGTGTGTGTGTGTGTGTGTGTGTACAGAGAGAAAAAAAGCAAATTTAGCAAAATGTTAATCATAGAGTC